GAGAGTGATGCTGGCTTTGCAAAGACTGCCGTATCAGTGATCTCCCCTGGTAAGTAGCACTGTTTTCAAATGAAGCGAGATGAAAATGCTCTGCTGGTGACTGGCTGCCTGCAAAGGCTGGCACAGAGAACTCATCTCACTGAGCACGATGATTAAAGTTTTACTGTTGTACTGGGGTGTTCGTTTGGTGCATGCTAACAGATCCCACAATTACCTGCACGGATTTCGCCAAAGCTTTTATTTAACGAAAGCTTTTAGCAATCATTTCCTCTGGGTAACGATAAGTTTATGAAGTACACTTCTAGATGGGGAGTTTGATTTATTTAAGAACTTATTATAAAAATAATTTGATTTAACCTCCTGTGACTTTACTGGGATTTTCACTCTCACAGATTCTATGAAGAGCAGTCCTGGACACTGTCATGTGTGAGACTTGTCCAGCTGCACCATTACACTCCTGTACCCTAACTGCTCATGTTCCAGTGCCATCTAAAATATACATGCATTTCTGCACAAAGATACCCAAAAAAGTAGGAGTTTTAAAACCTTAGCATGCTGTACAATTCCAAGATGTAATTACTTCCTGGGATTGAAGTTGAGGTAATTGCTGCATAAAAGGAGGATGTCAGAGGCTGTAACAGTTAACAGCTCTATCTCCAATCCCTAGGTGTAACGTACGGGTCCCGTGCACAAGCTAAATACCCGCTGCTTTTACCTGAACAAGCCCCTTCAGTTCCTCTTCTGTTAAGGAGTCTGTGGGCTCCTGTGGGGAGGAATTGTGCTCCACAGCCACTTTCCCATTCTCTGAAGTAAACATCCAGAGACATGGTTAGTTACTACTGTGTGTAATGACAATAAACCTACCCGAAACTCCAAATGGGACAAATCTGCCTCATAACAGCTTTTAGAGGGAGTGGCTGGTTAGTCTGAAGGAGTGTGCTCCTTGCTGTGGCCTACCTGCCTGTCTTCTCTGCAGAAAACCAAATGGCTCTTACTAAATGGAGTGGAAACTGGAATTGAGGAAGCAGAAATCTATGGAGAGGATGGAGCGTGTTCATTGCTGGTCTCTCTGTTATGTGATGGATCAGAAGGCAGGAAGCACTGCCAAACATCTTGTCCTGGTTTGGCTGAAACAGAACTATTTCTGCTTTCAGTAGATTTTTTTTTTTTTTCTTCAGTTAAGTTTTTCAGTAACTGCACTCTCTGTAAGCTGAGTACAGGTTTCAGGCAGTGCCTGCTGTCAGAGCTGATGGCAGTTCATGTCTGTGGTTGTTGCTGGGGCAGGAGCGGGATTGTTATGCAG